TTTTTGTTTGGTTCTTTTTTATCCTTTTGTTGATAATTCTCATTTTGTTCATATAACGTTTTCCTCTCTTTAGTTCTTTGTCCATATTTCTCTGTAGCTCTTTGAGCATATTTAAACAGGTGTTTTAAAGCTTTTGTTTAGCGTCCCATTTCTTCAAAAGTGGTTTTTTCCACATCATTTTTTCTCCATTTGAATGGGCCATGTTTTCCTGTTCCTTTGCATACTTGGTAATTTTGCTTTTTGGTTGAAAATTAAGTATTTGAAAAGACACCTACCTCTCCCAGTCTTTGCACACTGGCACTATGCTGAGGAAGACCTTCAGTAATTAGGGCATTTTCTCATCCTTAGAATCAGCTTGGGATGGTAGCTTAAGGTCTCTTCTTGACATGTATCTTGCCCTACCCTGAATTTGTCCTTTTTTTTTTTTTATCTCCCCAAACATGTGGCCACTTTTTAATGTCTTACTTTCCCTAAAAGTCTGCCCCCAGTCTTTTTTTAAGGCCTCCTATTGCATTCCACTCCCTCTAATCCCTTGCCTCCACCACCTGCAAGTCTGCATTCCCCCTGAAGCTTTAACAAGTAGTGCCGGATGCTTCTAGCTCCACCCTTTCCCCTATCTGAGCCCTGAGTTAGGTTAAACCAGGGGCTGGAAACTTTTTTTCTGCCAAGGGCCATCATTTGCAGGCCACACAAAATTATCAACTTAGAAGTTATCTTGCTATATTTGGTCAAACATTCAGTCACCCCTAATGCCTTGGCAAGGTCACACCAAATGATTTTAGGGCCTCATACGGCCCGCAGGCCGGACAGTCCCCACCCTGGAAACAGACCAGCACATTATAAACGGGGTCTGCTCTGCTCACTTTGGTTCCAGAGAGGGAGCTGGGTATCAGATAGCTACTTCCTCCCAGCTCAACTGCAATAGGTTTGGGGTAGGGTACGGATAAATAAAAGCACCACGAGAATTCCTACAGTTTTGAATGTGGATTTCACTTGAATGGGTCTTCACTTGGTTTCTGTAAACCTCTGGCTGTTTTCCGGGTCTCTATAAAGTTACTTTACCCCAGTTCTAGTTGTTAGTTTCATGTTCCCGTGGGGGAATGCTGTCTGGAGCTTCTAGTCCAGTGTCTTCCTCTAGCCCTGATATTCTGGTTGGTGTAAGACATTTAAAAAATAGTCATATTAAGTGGTCTTTGAACTAGAGGAAATGTTGATCCAAACCTATCACCTTAAGGACAGAATGCTAAAATGTAAACATGTTGATTCCTTGAAACATTTGCAAAGCTAAATAATATTCTGAATTATCTTTCTCATTTTGCTAGGACATATAAAGTCTTTCTTTCCTACCCCAAGATCCAAACCATGCATATGAAACTCTTAGTGCTCTTAAAAAATGTAGAATCAAAACAATTTGTACTGTTTTAGAGCAGTGCTATTTAAAGCTGGTTCTCACTGGTATTTTAAAACTTATACTACAATGTAAATAACACACTGTTTTCTTCATCATGAAAAGCTTGCTATGTAAAAAGCCAACCACCGGCCAGTGTTGCTCAGTGGTTGAGCATTGACCCATGCACGAGGAGGTCACCGATTCTGTTCCCAGTCAGGGCACATGGGTTTCAGGCTTCATCCCCAGTGGGGGGCGTGCAGGAGGCACCCAACTGATACTGATTCTCTACCATCGATGTTTCTATCTCACCCTCTCCCTTCCTCTCTTCCTAAAAAAAAAAAAAAATCAAAAAAACATTTTTTTAAAAAGCCAGCTGAATGAAACCATGTACTCTTTGATGTAGCTTATTTCTATTTTGACATAATCTTCTTATATCATTGTGGAACAATAACAAGCCCCATGCCAATTCCTCTGCAAACCATACCAAGGGCACTCTTCCAGAACACTTGCAATTATTACTGTACTTGAACCTCCCATAGTCTATAAGTAAAAGTGGAATATGGGAAAGATAATATCAATTATTTTTACTCAAAACCACTTTTTTTCTATCTCAGATAAAAATTTTAGAGGTGTTTCATGTCACAGCACCCTAACATTTTGCTTCTTAAATGTAAAGTAAAAATAGAACATGAACTAAATTCAACTATTATGTTATTTCATCTACTAAGAACTAATAACTACAGTGCTTCATTATACAGGTATCAAAGAATAAGGTATCTGTCATTAGATGTTAACCATTATGTAGTTATTTACATAATATGGTTTAACACCTGATATACCCAAACCCATATAGAAACCTACATTACAGTGGAGTTTAATTACATGTATGGCTTTCAAGTCAATATTACAATAACAACCCTGGCTCTCTGTGGACTTAAAAATAAGAGAAAGCCTCTTCTAGAAAAGGTTGACTCAATACATGATTCATCAACATAAAAAGCCCTGAAATGCAAAAGTGCACATCACGCTACATGTTGTATGTCAGGGGTCCTCAAACTTTTTAAACAGGGGGCCAGTTCACTGTCCCTCAGACCGTTGGAGGGCCGGACTATAGTTTAAAAAAAAACTATGAACAAATTCCTATGCACACTGCACATATCTTATTTTGAAGTAAAAAAACAAAACGGGAACAAATACAATATTTATATTTGCATGTGGCCCGCGGGCCTTAGTTTGAGGACCCCTGTTGTATGTAAAGTGTTCTATTCTGAGTCTTTTAAGGTGCTAAGCCCAAGACATATTTGTGTTAGAAATAAGCCTGTTAGGAAATTGGAACAATCAAATAACAAAATCGAAGGGTTTTCTTTTTTCATATATTGTAGGGCCTATTCTATCTATGATTATCTTGCTTTGTAAACAAATTTCAACAGCAACGTGCTGTGGTGGGGACTCAGCAGGTCTCCAACAGCGGACTGAGGACCCCCACTCCCTGTGGTCATCCTTTTATTTAAAATCTGCTTTTACATTTGATAGGGCTTCCTTACTATTAATGTGGGTTTTTTAGTAACTTGCTCTTCCTGCATCAAAATACAGTTATATATTTAAGTGAAGGCTACATTTACACAAAAAGTAAACTCTACAGTCCATAAATAAAGGTTTATAAAGCAGGCAGCCAAGAACTTTACTAGTACATTACAGTTCATTTTGCAAAACTCATCAATATTCAAGGACATTAGAATAGGAATGTGAAATTTGACCATTTGGTCCTCTAGTGTTAATTCATTCCTTTTTCTCTAAGCAATCTAATGCCGTTCTTCTAAAACACCAACTCTTACCACACTGAAGTAAGTGCTAGCCATACAGATTGAGGTGTCATTTTCATCCTGCCTCCTCCTAGCGATCTCTGGTTTGTAATTCTGTTTTGTTCTGCCTCAAGTGACTTATAGTTATTTAATCATGGTTGGGTATTTCTTATTGTGTTGTTTTGGTATGATACTGTGAATTTCTTAATGCGAGATCCAGTAATTCAATTGTTTAGCCCATGGGGCCCTGCATGTAAGTTGTTCATTCTTCAGTAGACAGACTTAAGTGGACACCTTGTATACACACAACCAGTCAACACATGGCTCTAAGGATATTTAGGTTCTTCTCAGCAGCAATAAGATCATACACATATGCACACACTAGTTTACGTATTATTTATGTCTTTTCACTTTCATTAACTCTTCTCAATCCTCTTACACTGTAATTACCATTTGATTATATTTTTAACAAAGTAGATAGTTGATTACTTCTTTCATCATTGCATTTACTGTTTCGCTTTCCTGAGAATGCTAGTCATTAAATTTTTAAAAAATCCTACCAAGTTATCACACTCACTCACTCACCCTGCTGGTCAGTGTTCTGGTGGTTATTTCAGTTCGCTGCATGCTGGTGATGGCTGTGATGACTCCATGCTTAAGTGATGAAGGACAGGCACTTCGGGTTGATGAGGAAACCAGTTTTCCACATTTCCCATGACAGCCCTCAGTGATTTGAAAGTTCACCATTAAACAACAACAAAAAGGATTGCAAAGATCACTGGATCCAAAGCTTTATACTGGAATTTTGTTCTTTTCATTTGGAGAGAAAAATAGTAATTATGAAACTTGAGAGGTTCTGTAAGATCTAACACTGAAAAGTTTATCAATCCCCACATGGGGTTGAATATACCAAGGAAATCTAAGAGAATGTTATTTCTTTCTGACACCACTTGCTAAAACACATGGCAATAAAGGTTGGTTTCCATCCTTTGAACCCTATTTTATTAGTATATATATTTTTATTGATTTCAGACAGGAAGGGAGAGGGAGAGAGAGAAACATCAATCCGCTGGCTCCTGCATGCCCCATACTGGGGATCAAGCCCGCAACCAGGGCATGTGCCCTGACCCGGAATGGAACAGTGACCTCCTAGGAGGTCTGTGCTCAACCACACAAGCTGGGCTATTTCTAAATTTTTGAAGTAATGTTGCTTCCTTCTAAAAAAAATTTTTTAAAAACATTTATGGCCACAAAATTTGAGTAGACTGAAGTACTGAACTTAATTCTCTTAGTATTTTTTATAAAGTAGTCATGGTGGAACAAAAGGGTAGCTGGGAAAAGGATCATTGCCTTTTTTTTTTTAATTGGTAAAAGTAATACCTTCTTTGCCAGAGAATCAAATTTTTTCTTAAATATTTAAATACTGCATAAAGGAAAACGAGCCCTTGTATGAGCTAGGATTCACCATAAGAAATGTAAAAAGTTCGTCTAAGGGGTCATTAACATACTTCAATAGGTCCACAGCTTTATACTACCACACCATGTATTTTAGTGAGAGAAAGTCCTAAGTACCATTACTGTAATAACCCCATTACCATAGAGCTCCCTTTAAAGGAAACATATTTAGGTTGATTAAATAGCTGAGAGTTCTGAAAGCCTAGATTTTTCTTCCATAAAAATGAGATACCAGAGTGAATGGAAGCCAAGAGGATAAACCCAAGTCCTGTGTATTAAAAAATTAAATAGAAGTAACCTGTTGTCACTATAGTGTGCATTCACACATAAAAATACGACACAGAAAACAGAAACATTTTTTAAAAAGATTTAAGATCATAAATATGTCATCATTGTCACAACACATTTCAGAATTGAAAAAAACATTTTGGCTTTTTAGGAAAAAAGATCTTTTTTAAAAAAATCAATTTCTCATCATTGAAAGGACTTGTACATTTTTAAATTTCCAGTCTCCTAAGGCACAATATTTAATCAGAAAGCCAGTATCACCACCCTGCTGTAGCAAGAATAAGAGGCAAGGTATTAGCATTAAGAAAAACAACAAATTTTATGGACAAAATCATCAGTCATTTAGGAAAAGGACAAAGAAACAGACCAAATGATGATCAGTTTAGTTAAGAAGCCCCACTGTTGTTATATAGGACTTTATGTTAATTTTTAAATCAAAGTATTTTACCTCAAACAGATTTAATTCTCCTACGAGAGGAAAGGGGGATTGGTAAAATACAGTATAGTTTCTTTAAAAAGGACTTGGGAGGAAAAAATCTACTTAGAAAGTGGAGGGAGGAGCACACACTGTATGGAACCGAGATTAGAGGCCTAGTTTATGCCTAGTCTTCGGCAGATCCGGAAAATCAGACAGACTAGGTAAGCACAGTACCAGGTACATACTACAGGCATCTCTTCCTTAATCGCACGGCCCATTCTACCCGACCACCTACCAACTGAAATGCAGTGCTATGCTATAATCAGATGCGTAAGGTGTATTTTTTTATCTAACCAGAATGTTCTTTAACAAATGTAAAAATTCCTCATTTTTAACTGCCTTGCTTTGTCCTCTGTGATACCAACTGAACTTTAAGGTTTTATATTGTACAATGTGGTGATTTAGTGTTACTTTTAAAAGAAAAAACCCACAAAGTTAGTGATTGTCCACAGATGAAACACGGGATGAGGTTCATAATGAATCAGTCATGGAGTGTATGTTAGTCACTTGTAAACTCTTGACAGTTAAGACGGGGAACTGTGCATCAGACACATCCGAGTGCAGCAGGAGAGGAAGAGACGCCTACGTCATTCCAATTCCGACAAGGTGCACGGTCTGCGGAATTCTTGTCCACGTTCATGGAGCCATTTATTGGACACTGTGAGAGAACAAAATGTGTTAATTTCTCCACTAACTAGTATTTCATTCATCGATAAGAGCAAGTTCTAGAATAAAATTTTTACAGGGTCTAAAAGTTCAAGACCAAAACTAGAGAAAGGCAGATGCTACTTAGTCTTTTAAATATGTCACTAAATGTTAGAAACACAGATGATTTTATTTTTTTAACCCTCACATGAGGATTTTTAATTTTTGGGGGAGAGAGAAACATCAATTGGTTGCCTCCTGTAAGCACCCAGGCTGGGGATCTAACCCACTACCTTTTGGTGCACAGGACGATGCTCCAACTATAATTAAGCCACAGAAGATTTTAGAAATGAGAGTCTACGTATGTGTGTATCCTATTTCTAATGTCCAATATAATGCCTGAAATGAAATTAAAATGGAGGTACAGATGGAACAGAACACTGTTTTCACCTGTTTGCAAAACACAAACCTCTAATCGAAGACATTTTTAAAGAACATAGGCTTCACTCTAAAGGAGCAGCTCTATGATCGGTCCCCATTATTAAATGCTCACTAAGTTTCCTGGGTTCCAAGATACTGTTTTCTAATGGAACCCCAAGTTAATTAATTTCCTATTCCTTCTCCTATATCACAGAATCTAATCAATGGCATTCACATGTACAAGATATTGGAACTAGGACCCATAATTCTTAACTACTCGTTTACCTTTCTCAGCTCCTGTACCCAATCTTTTATTCATCACACCTGCTGATTTTCTTTGCTCTCCAATCCTTTTGCTGCTAAGTCCAGGCTTTTATCGTCATCCACTTAGACCCATGGTTGGCAAACTGTGGTTCGAGAGCCACATGTGGCTCTTTGGCCCCTTGAGTACCTTAATTAAGTTAATAACAATGTACCTACCTATATAGTTTAAGTTTAAAAAATTTGGCTCTCAAAAGAAATTTCAATCATTGTACTGTTGATATTTGGCTCTGTTGACTGTTTGCCGACCACTGACTTAGACAATGGAAAAATCTTTCTAAACTGATCTCCTTCACTAGGCTCTCTTCATTCACATCCAGTGGTTCCCAAACATAATCATCAGGGAAGATTTTTAAAATCCTGATGATCAGGTGTCACTCCTTAATCTTCCTATGTCTCATACGGTAGGCACTAGACCAGGGGTGGGCAAACTTTTTGACTCGAGGGCCACAATGGGTTCTTAAACTGGACCGGAGGGCCAGAACAAAAGCATGGATGGAGTGTTTGTGTGAACTAATATAAATTCAAAGTAAACATCATTACATAAAAGGGTATGGTCTTTTTTTTTTAGTTTTATTCATTTCAAACGGGCCGGATCCGGCCCGAGGGCCGTAGTTTGCCCACGGCTGCACTAGACACACTGGGCACTTGAAATTTGGCTAGTGACACACTAAAATATTAAAATGGGGGTTAAAATATATATTAAAGCCGAAACTGGTTTGGCTCAGTGGATAGAGCGTCGGCGTGCAGACTGAAAGGTCCCAGGTTCGATTCCGGTCAAGGGCATGTACCTGGGTTGCGGGCACATCCCCAGTAGGAGATGTGCAGGAGGCAGCTGATCGATGTTTCTCTCTCATCGATGTTTCTAACTCTCTACCCCTCTCCCTTCCTCTCTGTAAAAAATCAATAAAATATATTTAAAAAAATATATATATTAAAATAACTTCACTTGTTTCTTTTTTTTTTTTTAATGTGGCAAATCCTGCACTTCATGACCTTGACAGTGAGTGCCTCTCTCACCCATAACAGTCCTGGACCTGGTTCCTAGCATGCCTGGAAAAGTGTCTTCTATCCCCAAGACCAAATTTAAAAATGAGGGTCTGAAGAAGCCTCCTCAAGTGTAAGGAGTCGCCATCTTCCATTTACATCTTTGTACTAGTATGTGCGACACGGTAAGTGATCCATTAGCAAGTCTCAGAGACAACTGTGAACCCATAAGGGGAAGATACTGTCTTATTCAACTTTGAGTCAATTAATGATTCTTAGAGTAACAAGTAGAAATAATCTGTCATCAAAATTCTGATCTATTAAAAGTAAATTTATATTAAGATCAGTACCTTGCCCTGGCCAGGTGGCTCCGCTGGTGGGAGCATTGTCCCTTACAGGAAAAGGTCACAGGTTTGATTATTGATCAGGGCACATACCTAGGTTTCGGGTTCAATCCCCAATCAGGGCGAGTACGGGAGGCAACTGATTGATGTTTCTCTCTCCCCCACCCTCCCTTTTTACAAATCAACAGAAAATATATCCTCGGATGAGGATTAAAAAAAAAAGATCGGTAACTTGCTTGGTTGAATCCATTCAATGTTAAAGTCATAGCAGGCAAATCTGTTGAAAGTTTTGTTTTTAATTTCTTTAAGATATAGATTATAATAATTTCCAAATATGGAACAATAATCACAAATTCTGTTCAGAGAATATAGAAAATATTTACCCCATTTGTTTCCAACTAGCACTGGACACGCTGCATGCCGTGTGCTATAATCTCCTTCTCCACTGGCAAATAGGTTATACCAGAAAACAGCAGTTCCCTGTGGAGAATACATAATTACCCCCAAATAAAATTCCAGGTTATTATAACTCTTTGCAGTAATTACATTTTCCCCTGCTCCCCTGAAAGTACTCCTCTATGGCAGCCATATCTTCCTCGAATATAATTCTGAAAATATGATCGTCATTTATAAAATTCTGGTGATCACATGAAAACACTACTGCCCAGCTGCTTGACAAAACTAACATTAGCAGGATGGAGAGGGAAACTCATCTGGAACCTATCTTAGAAATGACAACTTTTAAACACTAATTGGTGGTTCATTACTCTAGGCCAGTGGTTCTCAACCTTGGCTGCACATTAGAATCACTAGGGAATCTTTAAAATCCTGATTTCTGGGCCTCATCCTCCGGAAATTCTGTTTCTTTGTTACTAATGTGTGGCCCCACCCCATAACAAACAGAATTTTTGGAGGATGTGGCCCAGAAATCAGGATTGTAAAAAGTGCAGTCAAGGTTGAGAACCACTGCTCTAGGCAGTCATGGTAAATGGTGCCATAGAATAGTCCATAGTCTTACCTAGAGATAAATATACTACCTTTAAACATTTATTTTGTGGTTTAATGAATTACAGATGCATCTGACACAAACCAAGTTTACCTTTTTGGGCCAAACACTCGCTCCTACTTCAGGAAAAACGGTGGCCCCTCCTGCGGACACATCACTCATCTGTAAGAAGTAAGGGATTACCGAAGTGCTGATGGAATAAAGTTAAACGTGCTACTGTGTGGCGGACAGAGTACTGAATACTAGAGTACGTGAACATCTGGAATTCTTACATGATGGGTTTGTACATGATACTCAGTTTTTAGAAAACAAAGGATGCTTTTTACGTTTGCATACGTAAGTAAAAAAATATATAAAGCAAAGGAATTATAAAGTTAGGAAGAGAAATGGGACTATAATTTGGGAAAGGCGCTTATAGACAGATAAAAAGGATGGTTTAAAATTGATAAGCCAAGTAATACAGGGGTATAATACATATTTTATTACACTAGAATATAATCTCCATGGACAGGAATTTTCATGTTTTGTTCATTCCTGAGCTTTAGTGTCTAGAAACAGTATAAGAATGAAATAAAAACCAAGAGAAAAAGAACAAACTAAAATCAGTTTTGTCATTTCTTGTGGTAGGGAATCAACATATATATTAACTGAGAAGTAGAAGAGGAAAGGATTCTATAGTTATAGTCTTAAAGGTAACCTAAAGTAAGAACACAAACCTTCCAAATTAACTGAAGCACATGCACAAAACATGGCAAAGGAAACAAACCCTATTGTGATTTTTTTCAAAAGCACATAGAAGGTATGGACAGATTAAACCCCCACTCTATGCTACGTCCACAAGTCACATCTAACAGGAGCACTTACAAACACTGAAAACATAAGATTTGTCAGGCAAATGCTGTACAAAGAAAACACCAAGAAGTAGGTGTTTAATATCTGCCAAAGGTTCAAACAGTGTGAGTTTGAAGTGGGATTGTCCCCAGGAGGAGTGGCAGGAGGCTGTGGGGACGGCTCACATCCTGGGCATTCCTAAGCATTTCACTTGTGAATAGAAGTGGAGCAAGCCAAGAATGAACACACTAGGACAGAGTGGATCTGACACTCAGAGCTATGCTCAGAGAGAGAGAGAAAATGTGCCGGGGGAAGCAGGCCCCACAGGACTTTGTGCCCAACAGGTACCAAGGCCCCGTTCTCAGAGTCCCATGTTGTGGGCCAACATGGACTGACAGAAGGACCAGGAAAGAGGAGCAGAAGATGAACTTCCACAGCTGTGGTGCTCCCAAACCACACCACCCTTGCAGGCTGGATCACCTCTGAACAGAATGACCTTAAGGTAAAAACATTAAAAGTGAGAGAAAAAAGGGTATTTTACCTTGAAAGCTATATAACCAGTAACAAAGAACTAACTTTGGGGCCTGGCCAGCGTGGCTCAGTGGTTGAGCACTGACCTATGAACCAGGAGGTCACATGCCTAGGTTGCAGGCTTGACCCCCAGTGGGGGCATGCAGGAGGCAACCGATCAATGATTCTCACTCTCTGAAATCATTAAAAAGACTTATTTAAAAAAACAACAACTTTGGAGAAATTATTTGAATACTATTCCTAGGTGAGCCACATAAAGAGGGGGGATGAATACTGGACCAAATAGTATAGCATCATGCTAGTCATAAAACGAAGAAACAAATGCAGCCAAAACAACTGTTTAATGGCTCTTAAACATCTGAAAAGATACTCAACCTCCCTAATCAGAGAAATGCTAATTAAAACCACAATAACTGCCAATCTGATAAGTGAAAGGGGTACAGATCAAGAAGTTTGACATATATATCACACTTAAAGGTGGGATATAAATTAATACAATCTCTAGAGATTTCATCTCTAAAAAGTAGAGAAGACTCACAGCATAATTTTTATATAATGTATCAACTTCTCTCCTAGTTTTCCCTTTGTGATAATTTTCTCTCACTTAAAAAATGTATAAATCTCCTCCTCCAATGGCATCTTAGATCTTTTTAGCAACAAAATGGAGTTATGAGAGGATGGAAATGGTAAAGAGGTTGGGTTGGATACAGGGAAGGTTGCAGGGAGCAAGAAAGAAAATAGAGATTTTGGCAGGGACTGAGATACAATAGTTATATAATTTACTTGGGGGTGGGGGATGGGAAGAATGAGGAAATAAGTAAAAAATTAACTTTTGTTAAAAAAATCCTCACTTAAGTATATATTTATCAATTTCAGAGAGAGAAGGGAGAAAGAAAAACACTGATGTGAGAGAGCAACAACGATCAGTTACTTCCTGTACTCACCGCGACTAGGGATTGAACCTGAACCTCGGTGTGTGCCCTGACCTCGAACTGAGCCCACGCCATTTAGGGTACAGCATGAGGCTCCAACCAGCTGAGCCACCCAGGCTAAGATATCCTTTTATAAGCTAACAAAGACTACAACACTGAAGACTGTATTTTCCAAATATAATATTCTTACACGCTCTTTTTACATGACATTCTTCCTGAGTGGTTAGGTCTGTGTCCCCTCTCCTTGAACTTTGGCAGTTGCCTCAATTAATAAAATAGAGCAGAAGTGACACTCTCTGACTTCTGAGGATAGGCACTAAAAGTGCCCCACACTTTCTGCCTTGTTTTGGGGGGGACACTTGTTCTTGAAGTCACCATGTGAGGAAGCCCAAGCCCCATGGATGTCTTCTGGCCAACAGCCAGCCTCCATGTCAGCCTTCAAGATGGACCCTACCTCTCATCATCATCATCTGACTGCACACGCATGAGAGAGCCAGAAGAACCCAAGCAAAACCCAGTGAGCCTCACAACTGTGGGGTAAAATAAAATCATTTTAAACAACCCGGCCAGAGTGGCTTGGTGGTTGAGCATTGACCTATGAACCAGGAAGTAATGGTTCGATTCCTGGTCAGGGCACATGCCCAGTTGCAGGCTTGATCCCCAGTAGGGGGCATGCAATCAATGATTCTCTCTTATCATTGGTTTTTCTCCCTCCCTCTCTGAAATCAATTAAAAAAAAACATTATTTTAAACCATTCAGTTTTTGGATGATTTGTTATGCAGCAATAGTTAACTAGGGCAAATATTATGAGCAAAGCTTAATTTTTTTCTATATGTACTTAAAAGTAAAGAGCACACTGTTTTTGAAACTTTAATAATGTGAGAATGGTTCCCTTGATGGGCGTCTAGGGTGCTACTTCTTGATCTGAACACTGACTATACGAGGTGTTCACTCTCTGAAAATTTACTGTTGATATACATCATATCAGAAAAGTATACAACAGAAATTATGAAAATGTGAGTATCTGCAGTCACCATCTGCTGCAAATATATACATTCATATGAACACATGGAGAAGCTTAGATGACTAAACAGTCCATAAACAAAAGATCAACAATGACTGTCTCCAAGAAGTGAAACTATCGGTGTAACTTCCTTCTTTAGGCTGTAATATTATAATTGAAAAAAAGTATTTTTTAACTCTTTACTAGGATGATAAGAGCAAACATCTGAACACATCAAAATAAAAGAGTCATGTGGTCAAGTCCCAACTTAAAATGAAAATTTTTGCTATAACTTACATAAAACAGCCATGTTGCAATTCTATTTCCTGTCCCCAGCTCTTTGAAAGCATCTGGCTCATCTTTCTGTAAATAAAACAGAACTAATTCAATGGCAAAAAATTCAATAATGCAAATTTTCTAGTGGCAACTGAACATGGGTAATATACTGAAGGGTATGCCAAAAACAACCCTAAAAGGTTCCTATATAATATCTAATGCACAACAGCAGTAGGCATTCAAATTATTGATTCAGCCCTAACCAGTTTGGCTCAGTGGATAGAGCGTTGGACTGAAGGGTCCCAGGTTCGATTCTGGTCAAGGGCATGTACCCTAGTTGCAGGCAAGTCCCAAGTGGAGGGTGTGCAGGAGGCAGCTGATCAATGTTTCTAACTCTCTATCCCTCTCCCTTCCTCTCTGTAAAAAAATCAATAAAATATATTAAAAACAAAAATTATTGGTTCAGCTTGTATACTGATTACTTTTGATAAGACCACTGGGGGGGGGAACAGATTAACCTAAACAATGAGAACCAATAACTACTATTCACAGAATATTTAAAACATTAACATCTGTAGTTTTAGCTTCCCCCTACTTTATAGCTCAATATGTTAAATAAAAAAGATCCAATATTTATTAATCTTAAGAATATTTAGGCAATGACAGCTTTTTAGGATCCTGCTTTGATACTATTTATTCTTCAGTTTCTTTACATCTATTTTATATTTTTTATCTTCCTGTCTCTCAAAACTTATTCTTAGAATCTCTTTAGCTTTATCAGCCAATTCACTTATTTACCTCAGCTGTCTCTAATATGTTTTCAACTGGAACTTCATTTTCAATATGTTAAATCATTTTGAGAGGTTAATTTTATCCTACCTTTTATTTTCTTAATGTTATATAGTTATTTTATATTCTGCCCCTGATAATTCAGGTATCTAATATCCTACAATGTCTCAATCTGTTGGTTGCTTTAGTCTCACCAATGGTGTCTTATTACCACTTAGTCATTTAAAAAAAAAAAAAGAGTTCATATTTAGATGCTTAATCTTTAAAATCCTCAAAGTGCTAGAATGAGGATGCCTCTCTTCAGGGAGCCCAGCGCCAAGCAGCACTACTAAGTGGAACAACTTTGAATTAACTTTTCCTCTTCCAGGGAGTACAGCTTGAAACCCAAGCTTCATGTGAAGGCGGGCCGATGCTTGAACTCCCAGGAGCAGCTCCCCAGACACACCCCTCCAGCCAGGACAGTGAGAGGCAGATCTCCCCAGGGCTCCTGACTCAAGGCCATCTGTCTGTCTCTGAAGGTGTAATCCTTCTGGAGATCTAGGTTTTATGCAGGCATCTCAGGTTCAGTAGCTTACACATGGCTGTTAATCCCCAAAACTCTAGTTTCCTGAAATACATGTCCTCAGCCTCAGCTTTTTTTGTCCCCCTTTAGCCCTCTTAATTTTAGTCTCCAGATTTTCTTTGTTCAGTTTGCCTTTGGGAATTTCCTCTACTTTCTTCCAGGTTCAGCAATGCACTTAAAACTATTCTTAATTATTTTATTGTGCATCTAGGTGTTTTTTACTGCTAAAAAGGCTTTACAGAGTATTTATTCCACCGTGCATCCATGAATTCTAAGTAGGCTATGGAATTTTTTCCTTTTTATTGAATTTATTGGGGTGACACTAGCTAACAAAATTATACAGGTTTCAGGTGCACAATTCTACAGCACATCATCTGTACACTGTATTGTGTGTTCACCACCCCAAGTCAAGTCTCCTTCCATCACCATTTATCCCCTCTATACCCTCCTCCACCTCCCCCAACAATCACCACAGTATGGGCCTTGTCCATGAGTTTTCTCCTTTTTTCCATTTTTGCTCAATCTCGCCACTCCCCCAGCCCCTCCCCGCTGAACGAACAGCTGTCAGCCTGCTCTCTCTCTATGAGTCTGTCTCTATTTGGCTTGTTAGTTCATTCTGTTCATTAGATTCCACATGAGTGAAATCATGCATTACTTGTCTTTCTCTGACTGGCTTATTTCATTTAGCATAATGCTCTCCAGGTCCATCCATACTGTCTCAAAGAGTAAGATTTCCTTCTTTTGTATGGCCGAGTAGTATTCCATGGTATACATGTACCACAGCTTTTTATCCACTCATCTCCTGATGGTACTTGGGCTAGGCAACTAACGTGTCATACCTAAGCTTCAGTGGAACTACATTCTCTATTGTTTTTACTTACCCGTGCAAAATCAAAATGGGGTTCATACTGTCCTCCCACTCCATAATTTGCTACCTGAAGGAGAGAAACAAACCATGAATGAACTACCAAGATGACTATTCAAAATATCTACCAGCCCCATTTTGGCCTAAGGAACCAAAAATGAAAAACTACGGGTAGCTACTATATGCTATTGTAGAACCTTAATATGCTTTTCTTTAGCAAATGTTTGGGGGACATATTTTTCTTTAATATATAAAAAACTAAATTTTGAATTAGAATTAAAATTTTCTAGAACTAGAATTATGAGGTTTTTATGATTAATTTTCACTAACCACTTTTCTTTGGAATTTAAATAAAGACTTGTTTTCCAAAGCCCAAAATGCTGACCAACTCCCAGTATTCTCTAATAAAGTCCCCCTTCCCTCGAATGTAAAGAAGGGAAGAAGGTAACACCAACTTAACTATTCCTGCTGGATGGCTCCAACAACTTCAGTTGGTTAGGACAATGTCCTAATGTGAAGCAGCAAAAGAAAGTTAACACCTTTCGTACCGCATAGAAATCTCTAAGACATATGCCAGGGACCGCACGTTTTTGGGCAAACTGCATGTTATTTAAATCATCATAACTACAGATCATAATGCACTTTAGGTGTTGTTTTTCAATAATTATAACAGTTTTATTTACAAAAACAAACAATTAAAGTTCCTAGTACTTTTTAATATATGGTACTGCGTAAAACATTTTCTAAAAGCGCCAGGAACTTGAAGACGAAGACTATTCGAATGACCAAACTACAATTTAACTGCAATGCTTTATGGGTTCGTGCAATTATATAGTTTTTCGTAGATTGACCGCACGGTTTCCACCAATGAGATCACTTCATTCGATGTGGACAAGACAGTGTGTTGACATCTAAGGTCCTTAACAGATGGCACGTGAAACACGAGAAAGCTCGTGAGCGGTACGAAAGGTGTTAAGAAAAACATTTGGTCTAAGTTCAAGTTCCAGCTTTCTCAGTTATAACTTTGGATAAAACCTCACTTGTAAAATGAGAAATATGACACCTTCCTTTACTCCCTCCTTCCATCCCAATATGATAAAATGCTGACAAAAATAAAAGGAAAATGTACAGATTAATGATGATCAGCCCTAGCCAGTTTGGTTCAGTGGCTAGAGCATTGGCCTGCAGACCAAAGGGTCCCGGGTTCAATTCCAGTCAAAGGCATGCACCTTAGTTGCAGGCTCCTCCCCGGCCTGGGGCCCTGGTGCATGCAGGAGGCAACCAATCGATGTGTTTCTCTCACATCGATGTTTCTTTCCCTCTCTCTTCCACTCACAGTGGAAAAATATCCTCAGGTGAGGATTAGCAAAGAGTAATGCTGATCAAATGAAATGAGAAAATATAAGAGTGTTGCCCACAGCAAAGTCCAAGTCCTATATAAATTACTATTACTCTGCATAGTTAACTTATGTTACAGACACCTTGAATTGGATCAGCCTATTAAGTAGAAATATATCAAGTAGCCTAAAAGAGCCTGTGAGGGTTAAACAGGGAAAGAAAAAGACATATCAAAGAGTTTCTAGGAATAATTGACAACTTAATTAAGCAAACTTAAATATAGGCAGTCCTGCTTTGCCCAATTCCAAAATGCACATATCGAGGAAACCAAGATGGCGGCATAGATTAACGCCAGAGTTTGCTGCCTCGAACAACCACTTCAAAAATACAACTAAAAGATGGAACGGATATCACCCAGAACCACAGGAAGGCTGGCTGAGTGGAAGTTCTACAACTAAGAGGAAAGAGAATAGCATACCGAGACTAGGAGGCGCAATGCTGAAGTCAAATACTAAGGTGCGGAGTGCATGCAGAGAGGGCTGGAAGCTGAGGGCGCGGTTGTCTGTTTCAATCGGGAGGGAGTCTCAGACTCTGAGCTCCAGATCCGGGCGAGTCTCTAGGGACCCAGACTCAAACGGGAAAAGTGGGGCTGTCTGGCTTCGGTCGGAACTCGAAGGCAGCTTTCTCTCTGAGGTTTGCAGCGATTGCTGGGACTCTGAGAGGCAGAGCCCCTGGGGACGGGACTGAAAGCAGCCATAACTGCTCGCTCCGCCTGCCCTGTAGATCCCCTGGGACCCGCCCCACCCAAGCCCTGAACAGAGGCATTTGCCGGATAGCCTCAGGCAAAGGCTAGATTAGCACCTCCCTAGAGGACAGAAGTTCTCTCACTGCAGACACAGCTGATTCTCACAGCCACTTGGCCTGAGGGCAAATCCCCCCTAGTATTACCTACAACAATCAAGGCTTAACTACAACAAGACTGCGCACAAAGACAACTAGGAGGTGCACCAAGAAAGCATAAAAAAATGCGGAGACAAAGAAACAGGATGCAAATGTCAGAAATGGAAGATATAGAGCTCAAAACCACACTTTTAAGATCTTTCAATAATTTTCTGGAAACTGCCGATAAATGTAGTCAGATCCTCAAGAAATCTAATGAGACCCTCGATGTTGTGATAAAGAACCAACTAGAAATTAAGCATACACTGACTGAAATAAAGAATATTATACAGACTCCCAACAGCAGACCAGAGGAGCGCAAGAATCAAGGCAAAGATTTGAAATGCGAAGAAGCAAAAAACACCCAACCGGAAAAGCAAAATGAAAAAAGAATCCGAAAATACAAAGATAGTGTAAGAAGCCTCTGGGACAGCTTCAAGCGTACCAACATCAGAATTATAGGGGTGCCAGAGGATGAGAGAGAGCAAGATATTGAAAACCTATTTGAAGAAATAATGACAGAAAACTTCCCCCACCTGGTGAAAGAAATAGACTTACAGGTCCAAGAAGCACAGAGAACCCCAAACAAAAGGAATCCAAAGAGGACCACACCAAGACACATCATAATTAAAATGCCAAGAGCAAAAGACAAAGAGAGAATCTTAAAAGCATCAAGAGAAAGAAACTCAGTTACCTACAAGGGAATACCCATACAACTGTCAGCGGATTTCTCAACAGAAACTTTGCAGGCCAGAAGGGAGTGGCAAGATATTCAAAGTGATGAATACCAAGAACCTACAACCAAGATTACTTTATCCAGCAAAGCTATCATTCAGAATTGAAGGTCAGATAAAGAGCTTCACAGATAAGGAAAAGCTAAAGGAGTTCATCACCACCAAACCAGGATTATATGAAATGCTGAAAGGTATCCTTTAAGAAGAGGAAGAAGAAGAAAAGGGTAAAGATACAAATTATGAACAACAAATATGCATCTATCAACAAGTGAATCTAAGAATCAAGTGAATAAATAATCTGATGAACAGAATGAACTGGTGATTATAATAGAATCAGGGACATAGAAAGGGAATGGACTGATTATTCTTGGGGGGGAAAGGGATGTGGGAGAGGCGGGAAGAGACTGGACAAAAATTGTGCACCTATGGATGAGGACAGTGGGTGGGGAGTGAGTGTGGAGGGTGGGGCGGGAACTGGGAGGAGGGGAGTTATGGGGGGAAAAAAGAGGAACAAATGTAATAATCTGAACAATAAAGACTTAATTAAAAAATAAAATAAAATTTTACAAATTGAAAAAAACAAAAAACAAAATGCACATATCTCAGATAACATGGTTAGCTAACCATTAACACCAGACCCCAACACACAGTTGAAATTTCAGTTGCCATGTACATTGTGAGTAATGTATAAAGTACAAATGTCACTGCTAGGTCTTCAGTCCCCAGGTTCCTATGTAAATAACAGCTGCACATCATGATCAATGACCAACCACATCCCTTCTTTCAAAGTCTATCCGTGATTATCACTGTACATCTATTATGCGGTATAACATACTAAATATAACATACTAAATGACATACTGGACGAATAACATGCAGACAGCAAATCATGCAATTATGTTGCCTCCTTATCTCCCAGGGAAAACCCATGTGATATTTTACAAGAATATATAATTGGAAAAGGGACTTGCCCAACAAAGATAAAGTACAACAGAAATGGAAAGCAATAATGCTTTAACTGAAAACCAAATAAAACAAATGGAGATTTAGAAGAAATAGCTACAGGAAATGCTTCTACTTTTGCTGTTCAAAAACTCTACATATTTTGAAGATGGCCACGGAGTAGGTGGAAGCTACACTCACCTCCTCCCAGTGCCAAACCAGATTTACAGCTAAATTATAGAGCAATCAACCTAAATAACCAGCTACACAGAAGTATTATAACCAAGGGTTTACAGAAGAAGTCACATGGAGACTGCTAGGAAGGGTACAGACATGAAAGGGCCCAGCCGTACCCTTTTATGTAATGATGTTTACTTTGAATTTATATTAGTTCACACAAACACTCCACCCATGCTTTTGTTCCGGCCCTCCGGTCCAGTTTAAGAACCCATTGTGGCCCTCAAGTCAAAAAGTTTGCCCACCCCTGGGCTAGCCCCTGCGCCCACAGGTGGCAGCTGAGAATCTGAAGGGATATCTTGGCTGCAAAAGTCCTCCGTGAGGAGCATGGGCCTCACACAATGCCAGGATCCTTATCCAAGACCCCCAGAGCCAGGAAGAGGAGCCCACATAGCATCTGGCTGTGCAAAGCAGCTGGGACTCTGTCATCCTGGAAGGAGGAGTCTGCTAGAAACCAGATACTCTCTTAAAGGGCCAATGCACAGGATCTTGTTCTCAGACACCTGGGGCTCTGGTAGAGAGAAGGTGACTCAGGGCATAGGGGAGTCATAAAGAGAAGATCTGGGTGGCATGGCCCTGAGGTCCCTGTGCTGAGTCCCTATCCCACACTGCCCTCAGGCACCATCGTCCCAGGGTCAAGCACTCCTATTCTTACAGCACCAGCTGGGGAGTGCGCTAGCCCAGTCCTCCAACTACTGGCGCCACCCTGCTGAGCTCTAGACCTGCAGAAAGATCTGCTGGCTGCACCAACAGGACCTTTGGTGCACTCTTTTTCTGGAGAAGCGATTGGCGGAGATTGAGACAGTCACTGAGCTGTGTAGCTTTGGAATGGAGGCCATTCTTCCCCCACTCCCACACTCAGCTGGTGCCCACCTACCTG